CGATGTCCACTTTAAATGTCTATATTTGTACAAATGAAATTAGTCTGTTTTTCTGTAGTTAAATCTACTGAAATCACATCATTTCATAGATCTTTGTTTTAGAACAATACTCCACTGTCTTTTTACTATATTTTCCTGGCGCTCTTGCTGTCAGATGTTCACAGTTTTTGGGATAAATTTGTGGGAATAGGTTTGTTTTGCTCCAGCAGGTTACTGTACAGTGACGGGACATTTGGCTGTCATCAGTTTAAAGTGTTTTTCTGCCAAATTCTGTGTGTTTGACCTTGAGCTGCGGCTGGATTAGTCCTCTGACTGCTGGTTTTAAATATCCAGCCTGCATCTGTTATCGAGCTGCACTGTAACTCAGCTCAGTTGCATAATGTGGACGGATGAAGCTTCTCTTTGGCTTCTCTGAACCACAAACCGAAGATCTCCTGATGCACAGTTTGATCAGACACCCTCTAATAAGTGCTGGAACACAGCGAACCTTTGAGCTCGGAGACGTTTGGTCTCTGTGCAGGATTTCATTCTCGCCTGCATATTTCACTGATTAACTGGCTGAAGGTGTTTCTGCCGCTAAAAATGACCTGACGGACTGTCAAACTCTGCTGCTGTCGCTGGATTTTGCTTTGTGATTTGTCAGAATATAAATTCTTCTACCTGAGAAGTAAAATTCTTGATTAAATGAGTGAAGAAATGAACCATCTTCAGGTGTTTTGATGCAGGTTGCGAGGTTGATGAGTCTAAAACCTCCATCACTGTTAACAGAAATCAACCTCGTCAAAGTTAATGGATGGATGGATGGATGGATGGATGGATGGATGGATGGATGGATGGATGGATGGATAATTACTCAATCAGAATAATAACAAAAAACCTTATTTTCCTTTTTTTTTTTTCATAGATAATTATTGCAAAAAACATTCGAAAAAAGTTCAATTGAGAAGTCCCTGACATTTTGTCACCAAGATCTTGGGTCACAGATGAGTCACTGGCGGCTTCATAGTTGCACAAAATGTTGGATTTTTTTTACAAGATCTGGTGCAAACGGCTCGATTTGGCTTTGAAATGAGAAGGGATTTTAATGAAACCAGTTTAGAACACGAGGACAGGAGTTTAGGTTTTGATCTGGTAAAACTGCACACAGTTCAAGGACTGGCAAAAATGTGAAAATCAGACAGTTTATTGTGTTTTTATAGTTTCTGATAAAAGGAGCAATTTTGCTTTTTTTTGTTTTTTTTCAAAAGTAAATCTGCTTTTTAAACCTGCCAGCAGATTTCAGGGTTCAAAGTGGAGTCAGTATAGATTTTCTTCCTCGTCTTTGTGTCTTTAAAAAATTCAGCAAAATTCAGCAAAAGACACATTAAGCCGTGCAGGGTTTTTACCTTCATACTATGAATATTTCCAGAGTTCCAGGTACATAGAGGAGGGTCCACATTTACGACTTTATTGGACTTTTTCCATCATTTCTGAGCCTCAGAACTTCATCAGTACAGCAGATAGACACATGACATTTTAGGATGAAAAACACATTTGAGTTCTGGTAAAAACTGAAACCAGATCAGTTTTATATCAACTACGTGTTACAATATAAAGACTAAATGTGTGTTTTGTTTTGTTTTTTATAGCCAACTTTGTGCATCAGTATTATGGGATGTGTTGTTTTGTGTCTATTTTTTTGTCATTTTATGTCTCCACTGTGTCATTTTTTGTGTCATTTATGAACCAGATTTCATGCAGAACCTTCAACCTTTATGTGATTGCTGCTTCTTAAATATTAGGGTTTCCTGCTTTTCCCCCAGATTACAAAATCGCTATCTTACAGTTTTAGGAAATTTATGATGGTGCTGATGAATATTTTTACTTATTTCTGGTATTCAACTGATTAACGATTAATATTTTGAAAAGACATCAGTTTTACATCCATCCAGGTGTCATAACATTCTCACCAACTCCAGAAAGCTTTTCAGCCTTCTTTGGTTCCTTGTTTTCTTCTGTTCTTTTGGCTCATTTGATGTCAGGTTCAGTTTCAGTGTTTCCACCAAACAAACTCCAATAAAGCTGCTGCTGTAAAAGCAAAAAGGAAAAAAAAGACAGCAGGCAGACACAGAACGTTGGAGGGAAAAAGTGGACTTTGCTGTAAAGAAACTGCAACTTTCAACTTATTTTCTCTGGAGTTTCTGAAGAACAAACCAGAACTAAAACCATTTTAATTTCTGTTCCAGGAGGATCCACATCTCCAAAGCGGCTCTGGACTGTCTGAACGGCGACTACGAGGTGGAGGAGGGCCACGGGAAGGACCGCAACGACTTCCTGCGCCGCCACAACATCGAGACGTACCTGATCAAGCAGCCGGAGGAGAGTATGCTGACGCTGCCCGAGGACATCATGAAGGAGGCGGCGAGCTCGGCCGACCGGCGGGCCAGCAGCGCCACCTTCAACGAGGCCTCCTGGAGTCCCGAGCTGCCCTTCGACAACATCGTGGGGAAGCAGAACGTAAGTTTCCGCCGAATCTCAGGTCATGTTGTGCACTTTGACACACTGTGGAAGAAGGTCCATCTGACTGCAGCTGGTCCTGCAGGGGAGGTTGAAGCTGGTGTAACATTGGGGCAGTAAAACAATGCATCTCTGAGGAGGAGATATTGTGTTAAACAAATGTCTGAGCACTTTAAAGAAGGAGAATCTTGAGTGTTTGTTGGAAGCAGATTTGAAGCCTCCAGCAGGACGGAGGTGTTTGTCAGGATGGGCGTTCTTCACAGTGCATGGGAGATGTTCTCGCCTGTTTGTTGGTCGTTTTTTGTTTTGTTGTTTTTTTTTGTCTCTTTTCTTTTTCTTTTTTCTTTTTGTTCTTTCCTGGGAACGAGTGGACGGCGCTCTGCGGAGAGAATGTGTTGCCGTGGCAACGCGTCAGTGCGTGTTTGTGGCGAGCTTCTGATTGTGTGGCCTCATTTTAACGTCCTCCTCACTCCTCCTTCATCTGACAACAAATCAGCCCCGTCAGGCTTCACGCTGACGGCTTCTGAGGGTGTTTTTTGTTTGAGGTGGTTGAATTTGGAGACGAGACTTTAAGATTTAGTTTAGTTTATTCTCTTAAAAAACAATGTTTTGAGGCGAGGAGAGGCCTGCTCATAGACAAAGAGCCTCTTTGACTTTTAACTTTTTAAATCTATAACATTGTTTGGATTGTTGTACTTCCTGTTGTGGGGAAAGTTTATAGAGTAGAAAAAAGCGCTGATGTGGAAATTAGTGTCATTTGGAGTTCTGGTTTGATCCACATTGTGTCAGTCCATGAAAAATCAATCAACCCGTCCTTTGACCTCCTGAGAATCAGCTGATACTTCCTCTACAGTAACCGCAGTGTATTTAATGAAGCCATGCAAAGTTTCATCTTCATATTATGAATATTTACAGAGTTTCAGGTCCTTGAAGTCCATAGAGGAGGGTCCACATTTATGACTTTAATGGACTTTTTCCATAATTTCTGAGCCTCAGAACTTCATGTAAAACTGATCTGGTTGCAGTTTTTTACCAGAACTCAAATGTGTTTTTCATCCTAAAATGTCATGTGTCTATCTGCTGGACTGGTGAAGTTCTGAGGCTCAGAAATGATGGAAAAAGTCCATTAAAGTGATAAATGTGGACCCTCCTCTATGGACTTCAAGGGTCTGGAACTCTGTAAATATTCATAGTATGAAGGTAACACTTAACTTCATTAAATAAAGTTACTGTAGATGAAGGATCAGCTGATTCTGAGGAGGTCTGGGGAGGATTTATTTGGTTTTCTATGTAAGGATTTGGTTGTTTTCAGTGTTATCAGATTCAATCTCCTTGTTTTCTGCAGATTTGTGTTGGTGGTTCTCAGTGGACTCTTAATGAACTCTGATCACATGATGCATCTCGTGTTGTATTTTAACTGGTAGAACATCACGATGCTGCTGACTGTGTCTCGCTGTCTTTTGTCTGCTTCAGTCCACTTGTTTTAGATGAGTCCTAATTATCCACAGGACCATAGTGTTCTGTCCTCAAGTCATTCTCAGATCTCTCCTTTATGAAAATGGATTAATGCACAGAGTAAATGAGCTTTTCTCTTTGCAAACATCAATGTGCTGTTATTAACAAAGAACTGAGCCACAGACAGAAGAAAACGATGTAGAACAGTAAAACATAAACCTGTAAGCAGCTAAAGTGGAGATTCTAACCTTCCAAATCTCTATTAATTAGCATTTTGCACATGTGGCACAATTCATATTGAAGAAATCAATAAAATCTGTGTTTCTGTGTTGGATTTGACTGAACTTTTTGTCATCCTCTGCAATGGTAGCTTGTGAGGAGCCTACAGTTGTGTTCTGGGTTCTGTTTGGGAGATATTTTATTACTATGCAGATGATACTGAATTTTACCAATAACAACGCTGAGAATTTTTCTCTTTATCGGTTGATCTGCAGGTTATTTTTCTATTTTTCTTGTTGTTTAGCAAAAATTAGACAAATGCCCATGAGAACTGTTCTGTAATTTGGTAACAGCAGAAAATCCTCATATTTAAGATATTAGCATATTTTATACATTATCTGATGATGCTTCATAGTTCTGCATGAAATTTGACTTATAGAATGACAATAAAATAACAGAAATAAAATAAATAAAACAAGATACAAAATGACCAAAACAAGACACAAACAAGGTACAAAACAACAAAACCTAAACACAAAACAACAACAAGATGCAAAACAACTTTATGCAATAAACAATATTGTGTAAACAGTTATAAATAATAAATAAGCTGCAGTGCACATTTCAGCATATTTTGATAGACCTGCATCCACGGTCAAGCAACGGTCTCCAAAATGCAGCAACACGTCTGGTTTTCAACCAGCCAAAAACATCACGTCACCCCGCTGTTCAGATCGCTTCACTGGCTTCCAGTTGCTGCACGCATCAAATTCAAAACCCTGACACTTGCTTACAAAACCACAACAAGAACAGCTCCCTCCTACCTGAACTCTCTCATTCAGATCTACACTCCCTCCCGCTCACTATGCTCGACCAACAAAATCCGCCTGATACAACCACCACAGCAGGGCCCGAGGTCGATAGCTAGACTCTTCTCCTCTGTGGTTCCGTGGTGGTGGAAGGAGTTACCAAACTCTGTTCAATCTGCTGACTCCCTCTCAGTCTTAAAGAAAAGACTAAAGACCCAGCTCTTCACTGAACACCTTTGCACTTGACAGCCAGAAAACAAACAAACAAAAAAACAACAACAAAAAAAATCCTGTTACCTCCCACACAGCCTGCTATTGACATCAACGCCCTGTCGCACTTGAATTTGTTCAATGGCACTTATCTAGACTGTTTTCTCCTGACTAGATCTTTGCTTGTGTTGTATCTGATCTCAGATGTTCGTTGCTTTGGATGAAAGCATCTGAATTGTAGATGGAAACGTTTCAGTTTTTGTAACTGATAGATTGTAAAAACAGATAAATTTGTTTAGTTCTTAACTTTTTTTTTTTAGTTCAACTCTGATTAAATTATTCCGATCAAATTGCTTATTTATTTGACAAAATATTAGATCTTTTTGGAGCATTTTACCACAATTGATAGAGGTTGCTCAGTTCATTTATTGTTTTGCTTTTAAAAAAATGTTTTAATATTTGTTTTTTGTTTTTGTTTTAATTTTATTTTACTGAAGTTAGTAAAGCAGCATTGCACCATTGCACCATTAGTGGATATATAATAATATTTAAAAAGTGAAGCCATCCAGTAATATATTTTCTTCCATGTTTCATTAGTTGTTTTTAAACAATGAATTATCATTTTACATATTAAAACATTGATATTTTTACATCCACCCATCTGGCCTAATGAAAAATCAAATCAAATCAACTTTATTGTCATTTTGCTGTACATACACAGTGGTACAGGCAAGATGAGAGAGCGTTTCTTCAGGATCATTTAATTAGTAAGTTTTGCAGAATGAATGTCTGGGATAGACAAGACACTCAAAACGTTCACTTTCGTTGTCTCCTGAAGGGGCCGCTGCATCTATGCGCGCTGCCATCACCATGGCAACCATGGAAAAAGGATTATTCATCATCCTAAAATATAAAATGCTCCAATGTTTGCAATATTTATATTTATACAGGCTGTTGTGAGTCTATGGGTGACTACATTTTGCTCTTGTTCTGCAGGTGTTATCCATTTTTAGTCATTTTTAGATTTGGGAGCCTAAAATTTCCTATTTTGCTAATTTTGTCCAATAAATAGCCAAGAGTAATACGTTTTCGTGATACGTAGCGGTAATACGAGTATACAGAGTTTAGATGTTTTCGAGGCTTCCTGTTTTTGTCTTTAAAAAATGGCAAAAAAGCTAATTTCAAGCAATTACTATCCATTTGGTTTAACCTTTCATTAAAAAAAGTCATTCCAGCAGCAGGTGATAAATCAGTGCTTTCCTCACGAGCACTGTGAAGTTTGCCTCGACTCAGTTAAACACCACAGTTTTCTTGTATTTCTTGTCTTCTCCTGCAGTGAACGCTGAACTCTGCATTACCTCCTGCATGTATACGAGCCGCTCCTCCTCCTGTCAGGAGCTTACAGCGTCCATGTAACGGTGCGTTCGGATTCGCAGGAACGGTTTTTCTGAAAAGTGCCACTTCTTTGTTTCTGGCACAATGAAAGCCTGTCAGGACAGTCATTTCAAAAAGCGGCTCTTTGCATATCAAAGGCTCCTCGGAGGAGTTCTGAAGTGTCTTTTATGTTTCGCTCGGAGCCGAAGTTCTGCCTCTCCGGTGGTTTTCTGTCCTGCTGCTGGTCGCATTCAGTTTTCAGCCTCACTGCATTCAAGTGGAATACAGAGAGTCAGTCAGACTGAGAGGAAATATAACAAGTGAATGTATTAGAAAAAAAAAAGTGCATCATTTATTTAGTTAAATTATGCAGCAGTGAGTGAAAAAGCAGTGTGATTTTAAACTGTAAGTGACATTCATGCATGCAGTAATAAATACAGGCTTCCAGATACATCTGAAAGGTCAATATTTCAAGGAAACGTAGACAAAAACATAAAATATCACTGAATCAGACACTTTTAAACAGCAAAAACAGTCTGTTAGGTCTTTAAGGTTCCTCTGCTGCCTTAAAAATGTGACTCCAGCTGATTAATTCCTTCTTCTGAGTTGCGTAAGTGTAGAACTATCCATCCATTATCTCGCGGGGGGGCTGGAGCCTATCCCAGCAGACTTAAGGCGAAGGCAGGGGACACCCTGGACAGGTCGCCAGTCTATCACAGGGCTACACTTAGAGACAGACAACCAAGCACACTCACATTCACACCTACGGACAATTTAGAATCACCAATTAACCTCAACATGTTTTTGGACCTTGTGGGAGGAAGCCGGAGAACCCGGAGAGAACCCACGCTGCACGGGGAGAACATGCAAACTCCACGCAGAAAGATTCCGGTGCCCCAACCGGGACGCGAACCGGCAACCTTCTTGCTGCGA